GTGTGTGTGTGTGTGTGTGTGTGTGTGTGTGTGTGTGTGTGTGTGTGTGTGTGTGTGTGTACTGAATGTTTCGTTTGAAGGAGGAGGGAAAGGGAGGGAGGGGGGACCGGAAGGATTACGCAAGCCACGAGACCGCAGCTATACGGTAGAAAAGTTTGCGGAGTCGCGTCGGAAATGAGAAACTCTCGTAGATGCGGCGACGGGACGACCTGCTTTTACTGACGACGCTTTTAACGTCGAAATTAGCCAAAAATACACGGCCCGATGAACTCTCGGTTACGACAGAAATCGATCGCGAAATGTCGAGGAAATCGCCCGCGGCTACGGCCTTGTGACAAACTTATTAAACAAATCCCTCGCGTTGAAACCACGTCTCGCAGATGTTCCGCCTTTTACGAATCGCAATCCTCCAGCACGTTTCACGCACGTAATATAATGTGTGCTTTTTTTCTCTCTGAGAGTCAACTTAAATAGACGCGTATGTCCCGCGCGTGCGTCAATTAAATGCCAACGAAAGGGAATGGAAGAGTTAATTTCCAAGTGGATGGACGAGAGCTTCCGAGGCGTTTTTCTCGCGTGAGTGATCTGTACTGCGCGTTTGAGATTATATACATCGAGCATGTTTATATGTTGTGTAAATATAAAATATTTTATATTTGTAATATCAATACAGCTAGCTGATTAAATGCTACGATAAATTCCATTTGAAAATCGATAAATATCAATATTTAATTAAGGGGATGCCAAAGTGAACTTCAATGAAAAGACGACCTCACCCAAATGAAAAAGTCGACCAAAAATCAACTTAGACTGGTCGAGAACGTTACACGGAGAAAAAGTTATCTACGGCAGCAAGAATCTGTATATACGCAGGAAAAAGGGCATTTTTGTTAGAATCTTGAATTTCAATAATGTTATAATTTCATTTGAATATTATTATATAATAATCTCATAAGAAGTACAATATGATTATTGTGATGATAATAATCTTCTTCCGACATTTAAAAATATATTCTTAATACATTATTTTGTGCTTTTCAATAATGAAAATCATTTTTAAGTACAAAATATATTCTTGCAACTAACAATTATCTTTGTTTAACGCTATGTAATCTGATTTAATGATTAACACATATCAAAAATAAAGATCTTTTCAAACAAGAATGTCCTTTTTTTCTGTGTGGTAAAATCTCGTTGTAACATATAGATACTTAAAAGTATCACTGCTAGTAGACATATATTTAGCTACTGAAACTAATTTAGTAGCAATAGTAACAAAAGTTTTAATTACAACAGCAAATTTTTATTTACAGCAATAAATAATTTTCAGCAAATTATAATTAACTATGAAATCTTTTCTTCCATGTATTATCTATCGCACGCAAGGAAAGAATTAGCTACAGCAGTTAAAATACATCTATGGCAGTTATGTTATTGAAATATGGACACGACTATTACGAATGGAACGTTATTACTTATATTTTTTAGTTATTTAAATTTTCATTCGGTGAGAGCACTTTTAATTTAATTAAAAGAAAAAGGAAACTGCGAATCTGCGTTATGTCGGGATCTGTCATCGCTTTAAAGGTCTAAATTTTTAATTTGTAATTTTTCTTAATTAAATGCACAAAATTGAAAATGTTTTTACATAATGAAAATTACAAACATTAACAAATGTCTTTTTTTACCCTATATCATGAAATCATAAAAAAAATTATTTACCGACCATCGATAAATAAACATTTTTTATGTTTTATGCGATTAGTAAATTTACCCAAAAGTTACACTTCGATTTCTTTCTAATTTGACACAAATGTAGAAGTGCAAAAAATATTTAGGTCATATTTTTTCCATTTTGGCCCACTTTGAATTTCACGAGCAGTTTATAGCTTTTTAATATTTTCACTCCTATCATCAAATGTAACAAAAATGCATAAGAAATAAAATTGAATATAAGATATAGGCATTTTTGGTTTGCTGATTATGAGTATGAAGTCAAATATGTAAAATTATTTGTATAAATAATAAAATGTTTGAACAAAACATGTAAAAAGTTGAAAAAAATTATTTATACAAATGATGTCTTGGTTTGGCCGAGATTCGAATCATTTTTGACTAATTTAGCACAAATTTGAAATATTTTGGTTGGAATCTCAGCTAAAGAAATTTAGAATGGTTCGTGTCTCAGCTATGCCGATTTTGTTAAAATTTTAATTAAAATTGCCGGATTTTGGTTTGGCCAAGATTCCAACCATTTTTGACTAATTTAGCACAGATTTGAAATAATTCGGTTGAAATCTCGGCTAAAGAAATTTAGAATGGTTCGTGTCGCAGCTATGCCGATTGTTAAAATTATTTAACTATATATAGTATTCAATTTTATTTCTTATGCATTTTTGTTGTACTTGATGATAGGAGTGAAAACATTAAAAAGCTATAAACTACCCGTGAAACTCAAAGTAGGCCAAAATAAAAAAATATGATCTAGATATTTTTTGTACTTCTACATTTGTACTAAATTAGGAAGAAATCGAAGTTAAACCGAACCTTTTAAGTAGGTTTACTTATGAGGATAAGGTCTGTTTAACGCTGTAAATGATTCAGAGCAACGAATAAACTAATTGTATTTGACGCTTCGAAGCATTTATAATGTCGAATGGACCTTGCCCTGTATAGCATAAACCATACATTAACGTTTGCGCTTTATTATGTATAAAGTAAAAATTTGTTAGTAATTGAACATTCTTCCAACGTGAATTGAATTTATTGATTGAATTGATATTTATTATTTTATTTCTTATTGTATTTTTCGGTCACTAGTGAATCAAATACAAACGTTAATTATGTTAGTAATTTCATTATTTACTTTCATATTATTTATTTATATATAGAAATGTAAAACTGACTTTGTGTTTTATTATTAGTTTTTATTAGTTCAGTCATATATATAAGATATTTACCTCATTCTTCACAATGTTCACAGTTACAATCAGGATTGATTATAAAGACAGTTAACAACTAACATTATTCCTAATGAATGTATTGTCCCAGACAACATAATGTCTAAAATCAGGATATAAGACGTCTTACCCCTTGTCCACAACCTTGCTTTAATCTTTAAGCCGTAATAAATTAACCAACCACAGTCGATTATTTTAAAAATAATCAACTGGTTGGTCAATTTCTTACGGCTTAAGAATTAAAGCAAGGTTGTGGACAAGGGGTTAGAGATCATCTTTAAAATGTATTTATTATATCAGACAATTAACGTATAAATGTCTTTAAGGTGTCTTAAAGATTATGAGATTAAGATTTAATGTCCCGATTTTAGACATTACGTTGTCTGGGGTAAAATTACTTTTCCAGAAATATCACTAATATCGATATATTGCACATATATGTATATATATATATATATGAAATCATGGATACCATTAAAAAAATTTTATTAGTTCAGTCATTAAGATATTTACTTCATTCTTCACAGTTACAATTAGGACTGATTATAAAGATAGTTAACAACTAACATTATTCCTAATGAATGTATTGTAAAATTATTTTTCCAGAAATATCACTAATATCGATATATCGCACATATATGTATATATATATATATGAAATCATGTATATATATATATATGAAATCATGGATACTTTTCAAAAAATACTAATGAGAAATTTAATAAATATTTTAATTTCTTTAGTCTCCTTAAATTTTTAAAGTCTGGCTTTGCTAGACAGCAAAAAGGTCACGATATCGGAGAGCAAAATTTCACATAATTCATTTTGAGCATTATTTTAATTATATGTTTCATTTCTGTGGTGTCACTCATTATATTCCCAGTAAACACAAAGTAACAGTTATATACCTGTCAGTTGTAATTTCCTATTCAATAATATAACTATTATATAACGTGTGTGTTATATAACAATTATATTATTGAGTAGGAAATTACAACAGCTATATAACTGTTACTTTGTGTTTACTGGGTTCTAATGACTAAAATACGAGAGAAACTCATTGCGCTCTCAAAGGCATTTTTTATTTCTCACAAATGCATATACAAAGGATAACATTTTAAAGGAAACCTGAAATAAGTCTCACCTGGAAACAAGTGCACTAATTAACTACTTTGTAATGACTAATGATATCTATCAAGATTTTCACGTTAATCCCGAAAAACGACAAGCCCGACAACCAAAGGTAAATGAACGTATTGAAATTTTGGAATTCCAACAAGTAAGCCGCCACCAGCCAATCGATTTGATTCGCGAGCCAAATGCCCGTCAGAGCCACGCATCTTTCTATACTCATGTCGATATTCGGCAAACACAATGGTAACAGAGATAAGAACCAGAAGAAGTACTGAGAGGTCAACACCGGATTGTACATCACCGCGATGATTGCCTGGATGAACATGGCGAAGGGCAACTTGGACCTCTCCGAATAATAGTACGACGTGATCAGCAGTAGCAGTAACTGCGGCAAGAAGGTGAAAACCTTCTGGATCACATCGGGCGGTTGATCAGCGGACAAATAGAGCATGTAGAAATACACGGAGAAGTTGTGCCTGGTATCTTTGCGCGTTACGTGATACAAAAAACTCTCCTGCAAGAATTTGAAGCCGTACAGATGATAACTGATGGCAGTCAGCGCAACGATCGACAGCACGCAGTTAAATGAAAATTTCCATTGGCTCCTGTTCGGCCAAAAGCGATTATCCTTGCACAGGGACAAATACATCGGCAAACTGAACATCATAGGGTACAGTCTGAAGTGTACTGACACTCCGTGCAGCAATCCAGCCGACACGAGCCGACCCCTTTGCAGCAGGTCCAACGTGAGAGTGACCAAGAGGACCGTTAAGGAGTCCGCGTTGCCTCTCGTTGAGATCACCAAGGTCAGTGGGTTGTAGAGCCATAAGAGTGCACATAAGTCCCTCGTAGTCGCGTTGCACTGCTGCCGTTTGAGAATGCGTCTGATCAAGATCGCTATTTGTATATCCGCTGCGGAGAACAGCAACTTGCCGAAGTCCGAGTGGAATATAACATTCGGCGTCAACAGCCAGGCCAGAAACGGCGAGTAGCGATAGGTATGACGCTCGAAAGGCGATCTTCCCTCTATTACGTGCCTGGCAGCATCCGTGAATACTTTGTAATCCACGTCCGTGTACGGCACACTGAACAGCTCGTCGTGAATGTTGGCGTACACTATCAGAAGTTGTCGTATGACGAACGCCAACCAGCAGTGCGACGCGAACGACCAGTCAGCAATACGCATCTTGCGTATCACGTCCATTGTCTTCGTGCTGCGGATTACGAATAAGACAGAGGAAGATTTAATAGAAAATGTACGAACGTCTGCGGATCAGGCCTCGGATTATTTCCGGCTATCCGGATAGCCGAAATCGATTTCGACTCGAAAATTCAAATCCAAATAATCGAATACCAGGATAATGTGAGATGTTAGAACAAATGTTGAAGCCTTGCTATGGATCTAACGTCTTCTACGTTCGATCGTTTATAACCTCGTATTGCCGCTCGCAGCAACTTTCACAAGACATCTCTTGAGCTCGTTGAACTCTGCCGCGCAGGCGTTCTTCTCTAAATTGGATTTTGCCAATACACATGCTGCATACTTCGATGCAAATTCGTAACACTGCGCCATTAGATTAGGATACCGCCTCAGTCTCTTCTTAGCCTTTCTTAAAGATTCCATTATTTGTCGTACTGACGAATTCCGCAGGTTTTATGCTGAATTAGGAGCCTGCACTTTGTTCTTTTTGCTTTTTTTCTTTTGTATTTCATTCATTGTTGGTCTTACTACACACAAGTCGTAAATTGGTTTGCTAAATACTACACACAAACCAATTATCGTACCTAAGGAAACAAATACACGTGGGTAACGTTGTCTGAAGGTTTTTTTTCCTAACACCTTGTCTCTCATCCTTTATTTTAAGACTTTTCGCTAAAACAAAACGTATCTCAATTATAATAATTTTAAAATTAAAGCAAGTTCCGTAGTTACAGAAGGATAATTGCTTATGACCATACTTTATCGTTTCAAGTAAGGGCCTCTACACAAGAATGTCCATAACACTTTATTGTGTTAAATGCTGATATAAACTGAAGTCTGTACATAATGGTAAACTTAGTCGAGCACAAGGAAAATCAACGTAACAAAAGTATGTTTATATGTGATTAAATAACTCTTTATTTAATCACACATGAGATATTATAAAGTATATATATATATATATATATATATATATATATATATATATATATATATATTACAATAAAAAAAATGGAAGATAAATACCTAATTTGATAAATTAATATCAGATCAAAATTTTTTTTCATGGTACATTATTCATTTTTAATTACAATAAATTTTAAAAGAAATCTATGTAGAAAGGAATAAAACAATTTTGTATAAGATATTAATTTAGAGTTAAATATTTCTACTATTTTTTTATTATAAAATATCTGATATTTATCTCACATAATGAAATTGACAATGTACTAAATCATGCAAAATCTTGGTTTATTTTCTTTGTATATTGGCTGAAGTTTACTGTTATACACAAACTATAATTTAGAACTATAATTTAGACTCAACATTTAATGTAACTTAAAACATTATGGATGTTCTTATATTGAAACCATAAAAGTATATGATGAAGCAAATGTTAAACTTACAAAGTCAACAGTATTATGTTGGTATGGTTTAGTAATATTTATACCATCGCAAACTACAGAATTCTTAGAATGCTTAGTACAACATATTCTTAATTGCTCTATGACTTCTTGACAACGAGATGGTTGGTAGATATTATCTAAAAATAGTATGTTTCTGTATAATAATCATTATATATATTGTTATAATAATCATATTGTGTATAATAATCATTATATATATTGTTCGCAGAATTATTTTGCGATTAAACTTTTATTATTTTATACTGTATATTAGTAAAACTTTAAATATCGACATTTTATCTTATGCATTTTATTTTATCACATTTTTAAATATGTATACTATTTCATTTAAAAATATGAAATGTTTTTATTATAATTTAAACACGTGTCTCATACTCATCCTCCAGGAAAAAGGTTATAAATGTAGATCATGATTCTAAATACCTTAATAAGTTACATTCATAATAAGTTAAACTGTACAAACCGTTCAGACACTTTTGCAATTTGCATGCAAACTGCTTACAGGGATCAAGTGTCGTCATAAAGAATTCTCTTTGAAAATTTAACACACTTTTATATAACTTTCAATAGAACTCTGGAGACCTCTCTCTCTCTCTCTCTCTCTCTCTCTCTCTCTCTCTCTTTGGTTGCAGGTCTGCTCCTATGGTCTTTTCACCATTTCTCTTGTCGTTTATGGTAAGGAGGTATGTAATGATTTAAAGGTTTTGGTTTGAGTTTTTGAGGAAGATGAATATTGGTTTAATAAGGGTGGGATTTGCAAAGAACACAGCTCTTACGACTTCTTAACTCTGGAAACCTGAAGATATATATCAGGATTCAAGAGTTTGATAAAGCTTTATCCCCAACGCTATTATCTGCTCTCTCTCAATACATCTGTTCTTTTCAGCTGCACTTCCTACACTGTTTTACATTAGTTTTCTTTTTTATCAGATCTCAACTGTATATCTATTTCTTCTTAAGTTGTATACAGTATATATAAGTTCTTTTCGTGAATAGAATGGAGTAAAGGTCTTCACACATGAAATGACATAACTGCATGTGCATAGCATAAGACTATATGAACCAATGAGCATCGAATATTGAACATCAAGCATCAATTGGCGGCTAAATACTCGATGCTCATTGGTTCATACAGTCTTATGCTATGCACATGCAGTTATGTCATTTTATGTGTGAGAGCCTTTACTGTGATTGGTGCGCGCGTTCCGTTCCGCTAAGAATTTCCGCCTAATGGGACCCGGCCTAAAACGGGGAGCACACACTTTTGACTATATAACCATGGACTGCTAGCGGCGATTCTAATGACTCCTGCACACAGGACGCGGTAATGCTTGCCGCGCGGCGGAAATTCTCACGACAGCCAATTAATATGCTGTTTTCCGTAATAACTTTCTAGCTCTTACGGAAAAACAACATATTGATTGGCTGTCGTGAGAACTTCCGCTGCGCGGCAGGCATTACCGCGTCCTGTGTGCAGAAGCCATTAGCGTGGTGACGTGACCAATCAGAGTGCGTTAGAGCGAGTAGGAGCATGTTGGAACATGCAACGTGAACAAACCTTATGTATATTATGTTTATGGTCTCTTTCTACATGTTGGGTTCACTTTTCTGGACGTATGGGTTATGTTCAGAAATCCTATTCGATAGGTAGAGTTAGTTTAATAAACCAATCATAATAAATAAATCTTAGTTTCTTTTGCTCTGATTGGCTAATTAAATGTTACTCTACTCACCGAGTAGAGTTTCTGAACGCAGCCATGCGGGGTCCATGTATACTACATGCATGGATCATACGAACCGTGTGAATTCCTAATAGTCTTCGTTCATGTGTGGCAGGGTGCTATTTCACATATCTTATGGCTCCTGCACACAGGACGCGGTAATGTTTGCCGCGCGGCGGAAGTTCGCATAACAACCAATCAATATGCTGCTTTCCGTAATAACCTTCTAGCTCTTATGGAAAAACAACATATTGATTGGCTGTCGCGCGGACTTCCGCCGCACGGCAAGCATTACCGCATCCTGTGTGCAAGAGCCATTACGACAAGCTTTTCGGATACGTTTATTGGTTGGCGAATAGAGTATTTCTAGGTTCTTTGTTCGTCAACCAATGAATGTATCCAAAAAGCTTGTCGTATGACACGTGAAATATCAGCCGTAGAAGGGCCACTGAGTATAGGTCTGGAACCATAGAGAGAGAGAGAGAGAGAGAGAGAGAGAGAGAGAGAGAGAAATTGTATGAATGAGCCTTAAGCCAGTGGCACACGATGCTTGTTTTCATGCTGGATTGCTTGCTGCATGGAAATACTCTGTTCTGATTGGTGCATTTCTGAAGACGGACCAATCAGAATAGAGTATTTCCATTCAGCAAGCAATCCAGCACGAAAACAAGCATCGTGTGCCGCTGACTTTAACTTTACTAATGATAAGAACCGGTGAAGATAAACATATGTTACATCCTTTGTGTCAACGAGATGGAAGGAGAATAGATATGCCCGTTGTCCAATATAAGTTTTATGTATTACTTTATAACTGCTAAGTATTTTCTCCTATCAAAATGACCTCACCGGAATGTTTGCTCTGTTACGGTGTATTATTAGCTATATTCGTTCTAATTTTGGTACGTGTTGAGGTTATCAATCTGACATTTACTTTACCGTAAAAACGTACATCTTGTCACATACACATGATATAATTATTGTTATAACAATACAAAGCGACTTTTGTATCAATTTAAATATACATTCCAGCTCTGTGTAACAATATTTATAACGAGCGAACGATATCCTATAATATGGAGACATGAGAATGAGAAGCTTTTCTTTAATGCTCAAACAAAAGCAAAGGAGGCGTTCCCTTCACTGTATGATGCCTGGTGTGTAAACCTCAGCGTCATAGTGCCTGCTTATAATGAAGAGAAAAGATGTAAGACTCATTGTATATGTGTTACATACAAACTACTTGCATATTGTATACTTCTATCTTGTTTGACAGTACCGCCAATGTTGGATGAATGTCTTGAGTATCTAGAAAACCGTGCAAAGTCTATTGGATTTACTTATGAGGTGATAGTAGTCAGTGATGGAAGCACAGATGGAACTGCAGATATCGCACAGCATTATGCGTCAAAATACAACACCTTGAGGATACTGAATCTTGTCAAGAACAGAGGCAAAGGTGGTGCTGTAAGACTGGTCAGTAAATCTGGTATAGTAAGTGAACAGTTTAATAATTCAAGTTTATTATTATTGTAGTGTCATTTTGATTTAAGGGCATGCTGAGTGCAAGAGGCAGCGCTTTGCTATTTGCAGATGCAGATGGTGCCACTAAATTTGAAGATCTAGTAAAGTTAGATGAGAGCTTAACAGATGTTTTAGGATGTAAGATATATTTGATGCTCACAAAATTCCTGACATTCTAGTATTATTATATTGTATGTGTGTAGTTTTACAGTAGTAACGATAAAATTTTGTACAAAGGTCCTAGCAATGTTACGTTATCAATATGTTGTAATTGTGTTTATTTCAGTCAACTATATGAAAAACCCAGAAGAAACAGCACTATCTGATGCAGTAATATGTGGATCAAGAGCGCATTTAGAGAAAGAAGAGACTGCAAAACGTTCATACTTTCGATTGTTCCTTATGCATGGATTTCACTTTTTAGTTTGGCTTTTGTGCGTAAGAGGAGTTAGGGATACTCAATGTGGATTTAAGCTTCTGACAAGAAAATCTGCTAGAACAGTGTTTGGAGCGTTACATGTTGAACGTTGGGCTTTCGACGTGGAGATGCTCTACATCGCGCAAAGTCTCAACATTCCTATAACTGAAATAGCAGTGAACTGGACGGAAATCGATGGCTCCAAGATAATACCGTTTTGGAGCTGGTTGCAGATGGGCAAAGACTTGCTCTTCATCTGGCTCAGATATAGAATTGGAGCATGGAAGATAAACGAGACCAAAACAGCTTAATACAACTAATCAATAAAAAGTCTGCCGATCACCCAGATCAATCCCAACTCATTTTTTTGTAAAAATATTTTTCCAATAAACTCTTAGTCATGGAATTCTATTTTTTTATGGTATTCGTGAAGTTTTATCGCAAATCGCGATATTTTCTATGATTATTATTTCCAATTTAAATTATTACTGTATCGTTTAGAATTAGGTTAGATCTAATATCTTCGAGAAGAAATTAAGCTTTCGAAAAATACGTTTACGATGAAATCACGTCCTTTTCGTCGCAAGATGTTTTGAAAATGGCGCACAGTAGTGACGTTTACGCACTTGTGAATTTTTTCTGACGTCGGAACACCCAACTGTCCAATGTCAAGTTACCTACTTTTACGCAACACATCGCTAGCGCCTAATCAACAATCGTAGATAAGTGACGTGTTCCAATGTCGTTGCTTTCAGGATAATTTGACGCATTGCGATTAGTCATTGGTTGTGCACGCGCTTATCTGGACGTTTCCGTTAAAACGATCGTAAGATAAAGTAGACGCTCAGTGTTTTGCCGAAGTGTTTCCAAGCTTCTCACTGATTTTGTGTACAAAGAGAGAAAACATGTCTTTTATCTCGCCGATGCCTAGCCAGCAATTCCTCTGGGATGTGTTTCAAAGGTGAGTTATCTGTGATCTCGAGGAGCTCCATAATTTGTTCACGAGACTAAAACGCATTCTTTTGCATTTTAAGAATATTTTCGGACGCCTGAATTTATCTTTCTCGTGAAAAGCACTTCTGTTTTTAAAAATTCTGCCTAATCTGTAAAAATCTTGTGTTTATGCTCATTAATCTCCCAATAGACATGCATACATCAACTCTTTCATCCAGGCTTTATTTTCTTACATATTGTTATGTACTATTAAAATTGATATAAAGATCAAAAGGAAGTTTAATGCTGACAATATCTTGCTGATACAGATAATTACAGATAATTATTTTTTTAGAGTTGACAAAGACAGATCTGGTGCAATCAGTGCAGACGAGTTGCAACAGGCTCTCTCAAATGGCACATGGACTCCTTTTAACCCAGAGACTGTTCGTCTAATGATCGGTAAGATAAATATTTCCACAAAGTATCTTTTCAAATGACCATGTAAATTTATTACATAAAAACTTATGTATGTATTGTTATATGTAATAATCTATTTATTGCCTGCCAAGATTGTCATCCTAAGGTATAAGTCATTTCCTGGCACTAAATTAGGATTAATATTTCTTGAAGCTGGAAGGACCAATGGCTGCGTTCAACAGAGAAAGCTACTTTGCAACTGTTGTAAAATTTGTGAATCTGATTGGAGTATTCTTTTGACTGAATCCAGGAGCATATATTCAAGTCAGATTCACGAATTTAACAATTGCAAAGCAGCTTTCTCTATTGAATGCCAATATATCTGGTATATGATATTAATCCAAAGTATTATACACAGCATGTTGCACATTCTTAACTCTTAGTCTTTAAAGTATGCTGCTATAATATAAGTAATTTGCATGGTCCTTTGATATCGCCATTATCTTGTGCTTCAATTTGTTAATACAGGTATGTTTGACAAAACCGATCCTGCTTCTCCAGGTATGTTTGATAAGAAACAATCAGGCACCGTCAGTTTCGAGGAATTCGGAGCGTTATGGAAATACGTTACCGACTGGGAGAATTGTTTCCGATCGTTCGACCGCGATAACAGCGGCAATATCGATCGTCACGAATTGAAGACTGCTCTGACGAACTTCGGCTACCGACTCAGCGAGGAAACGATCAACATGCTCATACGAAAATACGATCGTGCAGGACATGGTACAATATACTTCGACGACTTCATACAGTGCTGCATAGTTCTATATGTGAGTAAACACATAGGCCCATATTCTCAATCCTCTTTTATCTATAAGTGCTTCTAAAAGAGGCTTAGGAGCTATCTGATTAGCTGAGAAGCTATATTCAAGGCATTTTTATCGATAAAAGAGGATTCAGAATATGAGTCATATTATCAGCCGCATTTTTTTTTGTAATATATTCTTTTATATGGAGTGTCTAATAATAATAACATAAATTTTCTGTATATAGATTAGGTCAAACTGAACAAAAAATTGCCCTTCCCATTTCGCGAACTATGTAAAATTTTAAATTATTAATTGAAGATTTGTGAATAATCGCGCAGAAACAGAAACAGAGCGTATGACGATAAATACGATTTGTATACTGGTACATTAAGTCAAACTGAACAAAAAAGTTCTGCGCTATTTTACAAATAATTAACTCAAAATTTGATGTGGTTATTTGCGAAATGATAAAGAAATTTTTTGCTCAGTTTAACTTAATCTACACAAGAATTTCATGTTCAGACATCCTGTATATAATTGTTCTGTATTAACTGATTGATAAAATCTTCAAATTAAATACATTTTGGGACAAGTTACTAATATGTGAATAATATATTTTCTATTTCAGACTTTGACCTCTTCCTTCAGACGATTAGATACAGATCTGGATGGCGTGATAACGATCCACTACGAACAATTCTTGGGCATGGTGTTCAATCTAAAAGTATAAATCATACGCACGGTATGCTTCAGCAAGTATTTTCTCCTAGCAGCTATGACAACACATTGTTTAAAGCCCAGGCACATTGAAGTGCCAAATAAAAACAAAAATTACCCTGCTTGCACGTGTGAGAAAAAAGCATCAGAATCTCCAAAATTAATATTTATTTGTACATTTGTAACTTTGTCGTACAAACGAGATTCGATCAAACTACCAAGCATTTTAGTTGACGATTAATTTTCATTGAGATATATGTTCATGTATGCTGAAGATGCACTTTAGTTTGTTATGATTACTAGAAATGACTTGTTAGTGGCACTGATATCCTATAAGATTAAAAATTAACGAGACATTCCTTCTATATGTATACAATTTATATGAGGTATAATTCTTATGATATATAATCATTTCTCAAAGAAACAAAAATAATGTCCAACAAAATAATAATTTTTGGAAATTCTGAAACCACGTGATAAATAAACGACCGTATATATTAATTAATTGCCAAGATTAATTGCCAAAGCCAACTTGAGAAATGATCATCACACAATTTATTAATATAAGCCAATTATCAATTGTATCAATTCAGGTATTCAGTGTAAAACAAAT